TTTTGATTCTTCTCATAATTTTTGCATCATAAGCAAACATTGAAAGGAATGCGTCTATACCCTCTGGAAGATAATTTACATATATTAATAACAGGATTGGTCCAAGTACAGAACCCTGTGGGACTCCGCTGGTGACATCTCGCCACTCTGATGTATCCGCCCCCCCCCCTCACAGTTACTCGCTGTTTCCTGTTGCTTAGATACACTCCCTTATTCACTGGAGCACCTTACCTTTTTCTCCTGCCTGTTGCTCCAACTATTGTAACAGCGTTTTATGGGGTACTGTGTCAAAGGCTTTCTGACAGTCCAAGAAAATGCAGTCTGTCCCCTCTTCTCTTTCTTGCCTAATTTTTATTGCTTGGTCATAGAATTCTGTTAAACCTGTGAGGCACGATTTACCATCTCTGAACCCATGTTGGTGGTGTGTCACAAAACTATTTCCCTCTAGATGTTTTACGAGCCTTTTCCTCACGTCCTTCTCCATCACCTTGTATGGTATACAAGTTAGGGAAACTGGCCTGTAGTTCAGTGCCTCTTGCCTGTCACCATTTTCGTATATTGGGACTTCATTAGCTGTCTTCCAGCTTTCCGGTAGGTTTCCTGTTTCCAGTTACCTGTCATACACCATAGAGAGTGGCACACTTAATGCTTCTGCACCTTCTTTTAGTATCCATGGTGAGATTCTGGCCGGCCCAACAGCCTTTGTCACATTCAGCTGCAACAAATTCCTTTTGACTTCATCATTGGTGAGGTCAAATTCCCCCAAGATTGCTTGGTTTGCCGCCCTCCTCATTTAGTGCAGGAACTTCTCCTTGTTCTATTGTGAAGACCTCCTGGAATCTCTTGTTGAGTTCTTCACACACATCCTTGCGTTAGGGGGGACATGATCACCACATTCAAGATTCTCAAGGGAATCTACAGGGTTGATAAAGACAGGCTATTTAACACAAGGGGCACACGCACTAGGGGACACAGGTGGAAACTGAGTGTCCAAATGAGCCACAGAGATATTAGAAAGAACTTTTTTAGTGTCAGAGAGGTTGACAAATGGAATGCATTAGGAAGTGATGTGGTGGAGGCTGACTCCATACACAGTTTCAAGTGTAGATATGATAGAGCCCAATAGGCTCAGGAACCTGTACACCTGTTGACTGACGGTTGAGAGGCGGGACCAAAGAGCCAGAGCTCAACCCCCGCAAGCACAACTAGGTGAGAACTAGGTGATTACATCCACAGGAAACAGCCCGTAGCAGCTGTCTAACTCCTAGGTACCTATTTAGTGCTATGTGAACAGACGCATCAGAGTGAAAGAAATTGTGTTCATTTGTTTCTCAAATGAGAAACCTTTATATATATATATATATATATATATATATATATATATATATATATATATATATATATATATATATATATATATATATATATATATATATATATATATATGGGACTGTGTAACCTTGCCAGTAACACCCGCAAGGTGTTACTGTTAACACCTGTTAACAGTAACAGTATATGGGGGCGTAATACACGCAAAACAAAACTTAGAAAGTGTTCACTGATGACCTTTCCAGATAAAACGAGGCTCATATAAGTTGAGACACGGGGTGTCTTAAATTTGTTTTCTTATGTGGTGTGTCCTTGTGTCATTTAGCAGCTCCTGCGTGGCTAATAAACGCCAAAAATGGATGACTTGGAAGATGTTAAAGTTCAGTCATTGTGCCACTTGGAAAATTGATGAGGATTTCATTTATTTTCTAGTTATTTTTTTATTTTAACTTCTTACACATGTTTATTTCAATATGTATTATAATCATGGGTTCAATTATACTGTTCAAAGTGTCTCTGAAATGGTGCCACTCAATATGTTGTGTTATGCCAGACCAATGGCAGTGCCACTCGGCGTTGTCTAGTCTTGTAACTTTAAAAAATTCCAAGTTTGTGTTAGCCTTCAGACTTGCCCGAAACGCTAAGCTAGCTATTATCTTTGTAAGAATGTGCACTTCATCGCCAAAATAAGTACTTTCACAACTTATTGTGATCTTTGTATGCATATGAATTGATAAATAAATACAAATAAGTGATGGAGCGTGATTCATAAACTTGAGCGGAAGTCAGACAAGATACTAGACCATATTAGGCTCCTGAGAGATAGAGAGAGCGCCCCAGATCAGCAGTTGTGTATATAGACTGTGAAAGGCAGCACAAGCTGCAGCCTTCCTGCCCCCGACGCCGCCAGTGAGTGCGTCGGGAGGCGTCAGGGTCTCCATAAGGCCCGACGACTCGCCTCATGAAGACGTGCAGACTAGATCCCTTCTTTTTTTATAGTTTTAGGTATTGATTTATTTTCTCAACATGTTAGATTGAAATTTGTATATGAGCTAAGAAATTGATAGTTTTATAATCATATTTATTTGAAAAGAAATTGATATTTAAGCGTTATTGTTTGGGAATATAATGATCCAGTTTTATATCCAACTCGTGATATACCGCACGGCATCTTGTGCGTGCTTGTTGACATATTTATTAACTATATTTAGTAAATTTCTTTATTTTTCATGATACTTATAACGACTCTGTTAACCATTGGATGCACTAAAGTTTGCTGCTTATTAGGCTTGTCAAATCCATCTGAAAAAAAAATATTTGCCGTAATACTGTTATTTATTAATCTTTCATTAGGCTGCTAGTTCAGTATCCAATATTTGTTGTAGTTATTTATTAAATACTAACAACAATAAAAGGGCTTCAACTTGAAAAAATGCTAAATTTGATATAAACATTTAGTACACATTTTTTGTTAGTAGACCCGAGACAAAATGAAATTCACACTAGTTATTCCATCTATCATCATATTATTATGCCTGAAGAGCCACATGTCTATGGGTTGTCATGTAAGGTCAGCTGACTTCTAGACATTGATGTAATATACACAGATTTTGCAAAAGCTTTCGATAAATGACCATGGTGGTCTCCATAAGGCCCGACGACTGGCCTCACGAAGACGTGCAGACTAGATACTTGCCAAAATATGCCCATGACAATTATGTTAACAAATATACAGTCACCAGTTAATTAATATTAACAGTTATTCTGTTAAATTTGGTCCTTAATTCTTTGACATTAATGTGTCGAATAAGTTTTATACGAAATGTTCCTTTAATTTAATCAGAGATCAACTAGAAATCGGTCTTATGACGCCGGGGTCATTTTTCTGCAGACAGTATAACCGTCCATCTTGTATCACTGAATTAGCATATTCATTATCCACAGCCAAAGTAAAGCTGAACTGAGTAACACTAACTAGGCCAGCTTGAGGCTTAGGGTCCGCGCAGAAATATACCTGGAGACAAATATGTATATATTCATTGTTGTGAGAGCGATTGAAGGCTGCTGCTGTGGATTTGTTTGTGTTCAGGCAAAAGTGATGTGATCCAAAGACTCATAATGTAATAATCCTTCAAAAGCAAGACTTAAAGTTCAGCCCATCCTCCTGTTTTGATAGTACTTATAAGAAGGGTGAGGACCATAGTACATATACCGACGTACAACACAATTAGAAAGTAGAAATCGGCACTATTGAATTGGGACAAACCGGAACACCATGACGTAAAGGAACATCGTGGCAACTGTTCAAGTCAGCTCTGCGAGCATGTCTTTAAAATAAACTGTTTATGAAGGTATGGAGTATGAAGGTATACACGGACATAATTAATATAAGCAACTACCAGACCTTGGTTATGTATTATCGGGAACGGTAGGCTTATCGACGTTACCCTGAAGTCCGGCTCCAGTACCAGGTAAGTCCACTACGGGCTCACCATAGCCCGTGCTACTCGGAGCTTTTTGTTGCCCAGTAGCTGAATCTAAAACAACATCAACAATGACTTTCCCCTTGGCCAACAGCTGATCTTTCTTAGGATGCAATCCACAACAGTTATGGTGAACAAAGTCATTGTATTTAATGAAACGTGCCCAAACGTCCCTTCCTGCATGGGAGTCGAACCAGGGCCCCTTGAAGTTGTGGACCAACTTCGCTGACTGTTGCACTACAGGTCACCTATGTGTTGGCAGAAGTGCATAAGGGATGGTTTGGCACTGAGCTTGTGAGTAGTAGTTTGTTGTGCACCCCATACTCATCCTGTGAGCGGTAGTTTGTTGTGCACCCATACTCATCCTGTGAGCGGTAGTTTGTTGTGCACCCCATACTCATCCTGTGAGTGGTAGTTTGTTGTGCACCCCATACTCATCCTGTGAGTGGTAGTGTGTTGTGCACCCCATACTCATCCTGTGAGCAATAGTGTGTTGTGCACCCCATACTCATCCTGTGAATGGTAGTGTGTTGTGCACACCATACTCATCCTGTGAGCGGAAGTGTGTTGTGCACCCCATACTCATCCTGTGAGCGGTAGCACAAAAGGACTTCAGAGGGCACACAAGATCTAAATGAGAACTGATCAACTTATTTATAATGCCAGCAGGAAGCAGAGTTCCTAGCCTATCCACCTCTATGAACTACAGCACATTACTGTATGTTGGAGACACGTCAGCTTGTTAATACGTGTCATGACTGTCGGTATTATATATTTCCGGATAACAGACCTGCTGTTGAGGGGTCTAGTCTACCCACTCTATACCTTCGTCACATTAATGACCTTTATCTAGTAGAAGAGAAATGTTGAACCAGTTCATTACCACGCTTGTTTCCCCTGGAACACGACTTGCTCGCAGGTTTACAATCAGGTCCCTAATTACTTCTGGGTGAAGCAGGGGTCGAACAGTTATATATAGACTGGTGCTCAAAACAAGCCTCTCTGGCCAGAGCTCGAACCCCAGGCAAAATCGTTAGCAACGTTATAGGCGAGTGTGCTACCATTGCGCCACAGGATGGCATGAGGAGTAACCTTGGAGGTGTAGAGTAGTGTGAGGTATTCACGTGAGGTGTGAGGGAGGTGGGGACGACGCCGGAACAGGAACAGGAGAAAGGGAACAACAAGAAAGTAGTTTCATTTGTTTTATTTTTTTCCGATCAATTGAACAATCTCCAATTACATGGCACTTTATTTACTAACACAGGACCGATTAGTAGAAAGCTGTCTGACTTTCACCGTCTGACACGTGACACACCACGTGACATAATGCACAGCAAGGTGACATCAGACGTGACACGTGACATCACCTAGCTCCCAACACATGTGCAACATCACATATGACACGTGACATCACATATGACGTGCTAGAAATCTTGTTTAATTCACATCATGCATGATACCTGACATCATATATAATGCCTACCTGACATCTTAAGACACTCGGCACATCAGTGACATGACACACCGGTCTAACTCACACTAGCCATTAACACCAATATTATTACATTAAAGCATTGACAGATAATTTAACTCCAATTACTGAGTTCAATATATATAAAAGTCTACTTTGAAATAGCACCAAGTGAAATAATTTATTAGATAAATCTGATATATATTCTTTCATAAACTTATGATTTTTCAAATTACTTGACGAATCAATACTTTTACCCCAATGATATTTTTGTTTACATTAATTTGCAAGTTGTTATTGGGCAGCATTGAAACAGCGACAGGAACCATTGTTATATTGTTGAAGTAGAAACACAGAGAGAGAGAGAGAGAGAGAGAGAGAGAGAGAGAGAGAGAGAGAGAGAGAGAGAGAGAGAGAGAGAGAGAGAGAGATATTCCAAGGAGAAACGTAGAAGGTTCACTGTGATAGTACAAGTAATTTTAGACAAGAAAGACAAGGGCAGTAAAGATAAGGGCAAGAAAGACAAGGGCAGTAAAAATAAGGGCAAGAAAGACAAGGGCTGTCCAAAGACGTAACTTCCATTTCAACAAGTGAATGACAGCGTACAAACGAACAACCTTGCAAGATATGTTTTCGTTGATATTGCATCATGATTGGACGAGGACCAAGAAGAGCACCATTAAGGAATTATATATTCAAAAGACTGTGGCAGGACTTTTGCAGATATCAAACAACTTCTCGAGCAGGCTTTAAAATCTCAGACTGATCTCAAACTTTATAAAGACATTACCAGTGTTTAAAAAAAATCCAGTTGCCTACAATCTTTTGAATTATTTTTTTGACCTTTAAAAACACATTAAGTGATCTTTAAATATCCCACACTGTCCAAATTTATTTGGAAATAATTTTTTTGGGAGTCTGTTGATACCTAAAGACCACCAGAGAGCTTTTAAGATTTTCCTGTGGCTTCCATAGGTGCTAAGCAACCATTTAGTCCGTTTCTTCCTGAGCGTCCTCTTCTTCGAAGTCCTCTTCGTCGTCGATGGTTGCCTCCTGATACTGCTGGTACTCGGACACTAAATCGTTCATGTTGGACTCGGCTTCTGTGAATTCCATTTCGTCCATGCCCTCGCCGGTGTACCAATGGAGGAAAGCTTTGCGCCTGAACATAGCCGTGAACTGCTCGGAGATGCGTTTGAAGATCTCCTGGATAGCGGTCGAGTTACCGATGAAAGTGGAAGCCATCTTGAGACCTCGAGGAGGTATGTCGCACACGGCTGTCTTGACGTTGTTGGGAATCCATTCGACAAAGTACGGGGTATTCTTGTTCTGGATGTTGAGCATCTGTTCGTCTACTTCCTTCATGGACATCTTGCCTCTGAAGATGGCAGCGACGGTGAGATATCGTCCATGGCGAGGGTCGCAGGCAGCCATCATGTTCTTGGCGTCGAACATCTGTTGGGTGAGCTCCGGTACGTTCAGGGTCCTGTAGCTGACTGCCTTGCGGGCGGTGAGAGGCGCGAATCCTGGCATGAAGAAGTGGAGGCGAGGGAAGGGTACCATGTTGACAGCCAGCTTTCTAAGATCGGCATTCAGCTGGCCGGGGAATCTGAGGCAGGTGGTGACGCCGGACATGGTGAGAGAGACAAGATGGTTCAAGTCGCCATAGGTTGGGTTCTGGAGCTTGAGAGTTCTGAAGCAGATGTCGTAGAGAGCTTCGTTGTCAATACAGTATGTTTCGTCGGTGTTCTCAACCAGTTGGTGGACGGAGAGTGTGGCATTGTAGGGCTCTACTACAGTGTCGGAAACCTGGCAACAAGAAACATGAATTATTCACACAATAAACAAACAAAAATAAAGATAAAGAGAAGAAGAGGAGAGGCAAACAGTATGAAAAAGGAAAAGAGAAAGAGGAAGTGAAGAGATACAGAAAAGGAGGAAGAGGTGGGAGAGAGATAAAAAAATATGAAAGGAAGGGAGGGAGGGGTCTTCATTCCTCATCGCCAAATCCTCACCTTAGGGGATGGTACGACGGAGTAAGTGTTCATGATTCTGTCTGGGTACTCCTCGCGGATCTTGGAGATGAGAAGGGTGCCCATGCCCGAGCCGGTGCCGCCGCCCAGGGAGTGTGCCAACTGGAATCCTTGTAGACAGTCGCAGTTCTCCGCCTCCTTCCTCACAACATCCATAACAGAGTCTACCAGCTCGGCTCCTTCTGTGTAGTGACCCTTGGCCCAGTTGTTCCCCGCGCCGCTCTGACCTGTAGTAACGTAAACATAATTAACAACGAAATATCGTAAAATGATTTATTATAATCCTCAAAGTTCGCCTTGAGGTACTTAAAGCCCATTTTGCTTCATTGTCTTAATTGTGTACACAAGGATAAAAACATATATAAAACTACAGAGCGCCTATTGGTCCATACGAGGCAGCCCCATTTATATCCAGCCAAACTCAAGCATACATGTCAAGCCTGCGCTTGAAACAATCCAGCGATCTCACATCTATTGTGTTACCCGGGGCCAGAACGGATGTGTGGGGTTGGGTGTCCAAAACCATTGTGCTTTGGTGTCTTGAGTATGTTCACATGGACTGTCGCATGAACTTATGTAAGCAATAGCTTTTCTTATTAAAAAGCTTAGATAACACATCAGTGTACTGCTACCCAATTCTGTATTAAGGATTACAGAATATAGATCATGCTAGATATAAGTTAATTTAATATTCATATCTCACAGGACGATTAACTACACATAGAATTAAGAAAAAACATGAGATGACACACAGAAATCCTAATAACGTGATGCATCAAATAAACAAGGATAATCTCAGTCGATTAAGGCAGCGTCTGGGATGCTCTCGGACGCAGGTTCGAATCCTCGTCACGGTCCTTGTGGATTTGTTCACGAGATGAGTTGATAATTGAGCCCTCATCCGGTAGAACTTACCGAAGACAAAGTTATCAGGTTTGAAGAGCTGTCCGTAGGGTCCGGCCTTGACGGAGTCCATGGTGCCGGGTTCGAGGTCGACAAGGATGGCGCGGGGGACATAGTGATGGTAGCCAGAACCTTCGTTAAAGTAAACATTGATTCTCTCCAGCTGGAGCTCCTCGATGTCCCGGCTCACGCCCTGGTATACGCCGTTGGGGTCGATGCCGTGCTCGTCACTGATGATCTCCCAGAACTGTGGACAGAGAAGCCCGAGTTAGTCACACGGTGTCACATGTAATAGACATTTCAACGTGTATCATTAATATTTGTAGTAGCGGTCTTAAAGTCCCATTCATGCGAAACGTTATCACTCAACTTACTTATTCATTTACGAAATGTTTATTATTCAACACAAATCAGCTATCATAACAATAACACATCAAGCCCCAGGTAGCATTCGGCCCCTTTACTTAAATCTTTGAATATGTTAGATATACATTTTGTGATGCATGTTAGCTCGGGGGACCATTCAAGCTTGACGCACAAATGATACTCGCGTGTCCCCAGCATGATGAAGTGATTTGATGATATATCTGGGGCCCAAATGGCCACCGAGAGCTGTCAGGAATTGGGTTAAGGGTCAGACGACTTTCAATTCTGTTGTACGGAATTGAACAGTCAATGTGGTCTGGCGGTATAGTACTGGACATGCTAAGGGGCATGGAGCCCTGACTGGGTTCGGGAAACCGGGAAAGAGTTTTCTGATGCATGTTAGATATCAAGTTACTGCACATCTTCTCAAGTGTATTATCTATATATATATAAAACTCTGAACTGTAATGCTGTAACGTCTACTCCTTAATGGTGGTGAGAAGGGAATACAGAGTAAGAAGAGTAAGAGGAGGTGATGAGGGAAAGGTGGAATGGATAGAAAACGGGGAAGCGGAGGGGAGAGAATAGAAAACGGGGAATCGGGAGGGAGTAAAGGGGACGAGAGGAGGAGTGGGAGTAGGAATGGAAAGGGAAAGAGATAGAGATACTTAGTAATAGTAATCTAAATGAAGCCACCATTCCGTCAAAGATCGCACACTAAGCAATGCGACAGGAAAACCCTGCTTAATAAACCCTGCGTTTACTAAGTTGACACCCCATACACGTACCATACTTGCTTACTGGTTCAGACTACACACTATATTTACTAAAACACTCTGTCAACACACAGAGTGCCTACCAAAACACCGGTCAAGACAATGCATTACTGACACTCTCACCTCACATTACTGAATTCTTCACCCACGGTGGGTTCACCCTAAAGTGGGAGACTGGCACCCACCAGGGTGGAGAGACGTACAGAGACGTGGAGAGACTGGCACCCACCAGGGTGGAGAGACGTACAGAGACGTGGAGAGACTGGCACCCACCAGGGTGGAGAGACGTACAGAGACGTGGAGAGACTGGCACCCACCAGGGTGGAGAGACGTACAGAGACGTGGAGAGACTGGCACCCACCAGGGTGGAGAGACGTACAGAGACGTAGAGAGACTGGCACCCACCAGGGTGGAGTGACGTACAGAGACGTGGAGAGACTGGCACCCACCAGGGTGGAGAGACGTACAGAGACGTGGAGAGACTGGCACCCACCAGGGTGGAGTGACTGGGGGAGGAACTCTTTGGGTGTGCTCTCTCGGAGGGGCTAGTTCTGAGTGACTCCTGGTGTCCACGCCCTTGCCCAAGGTGTCGTGGACAATTGGTTCCTTGTTTGAATCCACTGATGGCAGGGGTTTGTCCCGCACCTTGCCCAAGCAACTCCTCCCTCTCCTACTGAACACGCTCAAACGCACATCTAACACTCAACTCACAACTACAACCATAGAACAGTGAAATACACTTGCACTGTTACAATGCTAATCCTGATCTTAAACGCTTCGTAGTGTTGAAACAGGACCCATGGGCACCACACTACTAACAAATATTTATTTAATATTCCAAGAGTGCGATTTAACCAAACTAGAAATGTTCTGCAAATCAAGGGATCCAGAATGTGGAATGACCTTCCCAATCACTTCAAAGACTGTTCCTCTCTCAACCAGTTTAAGAGTAAAACTAAGTACTACCTTATCAACTCGGAAACCTACCTTACCTCGTAAATGTCCATCAATGTGTTGCTATTATCAAACATTAATGATTAATAACTAACTTGTAAAACTGCTGATGTATAAACTTAACTGTATCTGCCATGTATAAACTTTACGAAAATTGTAGTCCGTCTGTTTTAGTTAAAATTACTATCTGTTGTTCTGTTGCAATTTCTGCTGTTCTATTCAACATGCAATTATTGTCATCTTTTTTCTTCTTCATTTCAATTCATGCTTTTGATCTCAATTAGTTTTAAGTCTTAGTGTTTTTATTTTTTTCCACATCTTACAGAAACGCTGTGCGTATTAGTGACTTTAGGCTTAGTCTAAACCAGCTCTGTCTAGTAATCCAACATTGTGTTTATAACTCATTTTGTATGAATGTACTTTTCTCTAAATAAACATAATTAATATAAACAGACGAGGAGTCACAATAACGCGGCTAAAACATGTTGACCAAACCACACACTAGAAAGTGAAGGGACGACGACGTTTCGGCCCGTCGACGACGAATGGTCCAGGACAGACCGAAACGTCGTAGTCCCTTCACTTTCTAGTGTGTAGTTTGGTCAACATTTTTAACAAATATATTCTTTACTTCCATGTTTTTCCACATTAGTAATGTTTTATATTTTGAAATATTTATTAATAATGTTATAAGATCGGTTTCTTGCATGTGTTAGGAGAGGGTTAGGTGGGGGAAGGGAGGAAGGGGGGGGGGGGGGGGGGTAAGAGGGGTTAAGGGGAGGTGCCTGGTGGTCTGACGTTGATAAACCTCACACAGCTTGTTTCTTTTTACTAGTATGACTTTCTCTCGTTAAGTCGAGCGGGTTCTCCCTGCTCCCCCCCCTTCCAGTGCCATGTACGGTGCCTCCCAGGGCCACCACTACACCAGTTTTTGTTATATTCCACCAGCTACGTCCCTCTGAGGGCGTTCTCTTACGATTTCCTCTCTCAGACGTCGTAGCAAGAGACTATACTTACCTCTCAGTGCTTACGAGGGAGTTCTAGCTCTATATGCCCCTCCGCCTGCTCGCTTTGTTCGACCTGTTAACTATTCTGACGTTCGAATTCTTCGGGAAATCTGGGTTTAGTGTTGTAGATAGAGGTGGCTTCCACGACGTCTGACACACTTGTGATGACCACAACCACGGCCGGTGGGGAGCACGGAGGATGAATGAAGCTGGTATTGTCCTTTTAGTGTCGGATCCCATCTCGATTCTTGCCGTTAAGCGTGGTTATTATGTTGACTTTATGGCCAAACAGCTGTTGGGCAACGAAGAGCTGTTTATGATGTATTTTGTGGTCAGAACAGCTGTTCTTAATGTATTTTTGGTAAATACATACCTAAATGTTTTACGACTATGCTGCTACTTTGTTCTCAGTTTGGGCTCTATATTGGGTAGGGTGAGGGTGATGGGACGGGTGACGGTGACTGGGCAGGGGTGACGGGTGACGGGTGAAGTGAGAGGTGGGAGAAATCCTGCACACAGAGTGTTTAACCACTAATGGATCACTCCCACCATCTGTGAGGTGAGTCCATGTTAGGTGAGTCAGGTCTGGTTGTACTGTACCCGCCCCCCGCCTGGGGTCCCCGCCTGGGGTCCACCACGCCTGGGGTCCACGCCGCCACACGCATAAGTCCGTGGGCGTGTGGCGACTTGGAGAGCTCACAGGGCCTATTAGGGTGTGAGCTTCGGGGTGTAAAGGTGTGAGTGTGGGTGTAGTGTGGGCGTACCCTGGTTAGAAGAGGATTTATGTCTGAAGGTCGTATACCTAGATACATCAGGTGAGGTAATGATGGACAGAGTACTGTACACAGGTGTGGGGGGGTTAGTGTGTACAGGGGTGTACGCAGGTGAGGGTGTGAGAGGCAGTGGAAGGAGGGGGGTATACTTTCTCCCTTTCGCACCTGTCGTAGGCGCCAAGTCACACGGGCGCTACTGTTTTGCTTATATATTAAACAATCCATCCCCCATCCTGTGGGCGGTGGTGGACCCCGTCCCTATCCTGTGGGCGGTGGTGGACCCCATCCCTATCCTGTGGGCGGTGGTGGACCCCATATCTATCCTGTGGGCGGTGATGGAGCCAATAACCATTCTAAAGGCGGTGGTGGAAGGCTCATTCTGGATGATTTCTTGCTCAGGAAATGAATTCCTAAATTCATTTAACTAAGCAAGTTACAGTCTTGATAAGCTGCTTACATATTTTTACATATATGAACAGTATTATATAGCATGGGCTTAGTAAGTGGACCCTGTAGGTAGCTCAGCGCAGCAAGTTACAGCCTTGATAACCAAGTGTGGGAGAACGCTTACAGTCTGAGTACAGGATGCCAGGGGGAGAGAGAGGGAGTGTGACGCTAAAGAATAAGAATTGCTTTGAGAATCTCTTTACCAAATATATTATTAGCTGATGTAATCGGGTATTTAACATGTTAAGAGCGACATAGACGCTCTGAACAACTTCAAACAAGTAAATATTATATATAAATAAGGAATAGAATATTAGATTCAGTTACTAGAATACAAATTAATCTAGAAATAAAAGAGGAATTAGTACATGGTAAGATCGACTTTGATCAGGAAACGCATGTGCCTTTGGCCCCTGTGCGTTCTCCGTGACCCCTCGCCGGCTAGTCCTGTATGGTTAGCAAAGGACCTGACCAGCAAGTACGAGGGAACACACCACAGCTGGCGAACAGGTGACCAACAGGTGGTAGTGAACATGTGGAGGGAGCGACCACGGGGTCACCAGCCTGACTAGTCAGTGGAAACAAACCCGTCTTTGTTATTGCTCGCTTGTGACTCAACCTCTTATACCCCCCTCCTGAGCGCCTGCCCACATCTGTACCCTTCTCTCTCACCCACTTGCTCGCATCTCTACCCCTTCTCTCTCATCCACCTGTCCTCCTCTCTCATCCACCTGCCCTTCTCTCTCATGCATCTGCCCGCATGTCTACCCTTGTCATTCACCTGTCAGCATTTCTACCATTACCATTGTCAGTTCATTGCCCAACATAGGTTTCAAACCTGATTCGAAGCAAAACACAGAACGGTAGAAATCAGTTGTGTATCCTGAACTGATATTTTAAAACTAAATCAGACGCAAACCAACT